TATAAATTATAGAATCTAGATGAGTTTTTAACCACTCTAGTAGGTTTAGATTGCAGATAAATTAGATAGTTAAATATTTATAGTCTGAGTTTTATTCTTGTAAAATATTTGTAATTATTGGTCTTATAGACTAGAGAAACTCCTAGTAGATTTTCAATACAAATTATTAAATAAAGATAAAGGCAAAACCTCACCTTAAAAAAAAAAAAAAAAAAAACTATATAATAGCCCTCTATTTTTCCAAATTTCTTTAATTTTCAAATTTTTAAAATTTTACAAATTTTATTCCAAATTTTTAAATCACAATTGCTCAAACAATAAAAGCTCAAACTATCAATAATTTTCTTAACCAATTACTAATTGAAGAAGTACAAGCTCTTAAACAATTTTTACAAATTTAGAAAAACAATAATATTTTATACAACACTATTGAAATATCTGATCAAAATATCTCTATCATTGATAAAAATAGAGTTAAAATTACAAGTTCAATTGATAGTATTACTCAACAAACAAATGTAACTCCTTCTGATTATTCTATATTATTTGATGAATTTGTTAATAGTACTAAATAGGATATAATTCCTCAACCAATTGAGCCTATTACTGAAGAATTGAATATTCAAGAGAATCCAAATGAAAATTTAATTACTGACCAACAAAATGTCAATCAACAGAAAAATAAATATCATATCAAACAAATTAAAAATGATTTAGAACATGAAACAGAGGATCGAGTTCAATTAAATTCTCCTTATCAAGGTTCTAATTATATTCAAATTTTGAATCAAATTATGATCAAAATTCATGCTTTTGGAAAAAAAAGTCTAAACGAATCTAAAGATTGAAAGCTCTTTATTACTTGAGACAACTGAAAAGAAATAATAGTAAAAATATTGTTTGATATATATGTACTCAATTAACTTACTCTTTTAGAGAATTTAAGTCTGTTTAACTTTGGAAACAAGCTATTCGAATCTACAAAATTTATCAAAAAGTTGGACTACAACAGTTATATAAATCAAGTTTCATCAGTATATTAATGATTGGAGAAGATTTTGAACAATTAGTTTAAAAATATTTATTATTTATTATATTTATTTCTTATTATAGTTATTATTTATTATTTATTAAATCATA